ATATTACACAAGCATATATATATATATATATATATATAGCAATACATGCGCCCAGAGTTGGCTGTGTGATGATGTTGCAGAGCATTCCAAATGAACAAATTTTGACCCTGTTTATCAGATTGCAATGTTATTGATATGAGAAAGTTGGTTTAAAGTAACGATCATAAATATCAGCATCAGAGACCAACTGCCTCGTGTCAACAAGCTATAACACATCTGAGGTGAATCTTAATGAGTAGACGCACTCATTCTATAAGAGGATGAGTGTGGAAATGTAAGCAAAAACATTTGAGGCAAGAGGGGGGAAATGGAGAAGGTGAGAGCAGGATATATTTGGAAGGAACGCTGTCTCGGACCACAGGGCTGTTAGTTCTGCCTTTCACAGGGGAGTGAATTCTAATCAAACCAAACAGCTTGTCATCGCACACTCATCATAATCTAATTAAGTGCAATCTAAATAATGATGATATTAGCCTTCTGATTGCACGGGTATAAATGCTGAGAAACGCATCAGTCTCATGTCGTCATGGTGCTCCGCCATCATCTGTCTTGATTTGGAGTGACTGTCCATGACTGTTTTTTTTTTCTTGAATTAACCAGCAAAAATCTATCTATCTATCTATCTATCTATCTATGTATCTATCTATCTATCGATCTATCTATCAGTAAGATTTTTTTAATGTTTTGAAAAGTCTCTACAGTAAAAACAGTAGTATTGCAAAATATTATTAAAATTAGTATATATTATGTTATAATATATTATTATATATGATCAAAACTCAATATTTCTATTTTAATATATTTTAGAATTACATTTTCAGCATCATTACTCCAATCTTCAGTGTCACATTATCATTATATATCATTATAATATGCTGATTTGGTCTCATATGCTTTTGGGCTAATGCCATTTAGAATAATATATATTATTCTATAGTCACCTCTGTATACCACTGCACCACACTGAACCATATGTACCTTAAGTGCTATATAATACTATGTAATTCTGAATTCAATCAGCTTTCCAACATGTCATGTCAATCTTTCCCTGCCTCCATATTACATTACATTACAAACAGATGGCAAAATCTCCCATGGTAGTGAATAAATTACCATACATACATATGCCATCGTATTTACATGATCACCATAGCACTTCAAAGAAGAAAAGATTAAGGGAGCATAAAGTATAATACTATTACCATGTTCAAAAAACTACCATGGTAGCTTTTTGTTGGTGAAAGCTTGTTATCTGAGTGCCTGCTCATGGTCCTGAGAAATGAGGGTGGGTTCTGATGCTTTTGTGGCTCTTTGAAGTCCTTTGAAAAACCTCATCTGTCAAGTGAATGGATTCTTTGCAATCTCCACAGCACCAATAACTCGCTTACGAGCCTGCTAATGTCAACTAGAGCTGCTCTTAATCCACAAAATCACTGAATTTGTTTTGATTTTCTTTTTATTACTGAAAAAATACACACTAATTATTATATCATAAGGACTAGTTCATTGAGCAGCTGATCAGTTATACACATCGCTGATCGCCATGCTCAGTTAGATAATAAATGTGGAGCATTTACCCTTCAGAGAACATTCATTCATTTTATCACATTCACTTGCAGCTGAATCATGCTCATACTGTGTAGAACAATACAATAGACGTAAAATTTTACATTTTGTCCACACAAATGATTCCTCCAGTCATTTGAGTGAAGACCAATGAGATTGGCTCTTTCCATTGTTACAAGGTGAGGCCTTTCAAAAGTCTTGAATTGATTCAATTATACAGATAATTCGGCACTGTCGAAAGCGCTCTGTTTTACAATAATACAGAGCGATGCACAAAAGAACATGTTTGAGACAGCATTTATTGCGCCACAATGTGAACAGTGCAATAATCCTTCGCTGCTCCCAAAATCTTTTCACGTTGATCTTTCGCTTCATAAAGAGCACAGAATGAGCAAAACTGGGTTACATCAGTGAGATGAGAATGTAGACGCAAAGACTATTCAACATTGAATGAGATCAGCACTCTACTGTCCATTAGGATATTAGCTTTCAGGATAATCTATGCCACAGAGCCTGAGGTAATACACATTAGTGTGAATAAAATGACTTTGTCTTCATAAGAGCTTACAGTGATATCAGGCCATTTCTCTCTAAGACTCTTACGTCTACAACTGCTTTATTATTAAGAATTATGGTTAATGGTGTTGGACTGTGTATCATTGAATGATTTAATGCAGTGTTGTTACCGTAAACTATAAAACTAAAACTTCTAGTAACTGAAATAAAGCTGAAATAAAATATAAATATTAAAGGAAAAAATGTAACAAAAACATTGTAAATAATATAACTGAAAACTAAATTAAATAAGTTTGTTGAAGTAATATAATTAGAACTGAAACAAAAATGAAGCTATATAGCAGTAAAAAACTAATAAAAACGACAAAAGCACACAACAAAATGACTAAAACTTAAAAATAAAAATAAAACATTGATACAACGGAAGATGGTGACATGAGAGTTTTTTTTTTTTCATTGAGTGAGTCATTGAATCACTCATTCAACGATTTGAATCCAGGTAAATTCAGGCATGAAACCAGTGACTGTCTGAGCAAGTCAAACTCAATCATTCAAAAAAAGCCAAATCGCTTGTTTGCTGTTGGAGCTGAAAAAAAAGTGTCTAAAAAGAGTCCAATTCAATGTTAACTTCTTTATTAATTATTATTTCTGAGCTACAATATTGCAAACCCAAAGCTAAGCTTATTTTCTCCACTTAAAACAATGGAACAAATTGTGTTCCGTGATATTATTAGGAGAAATTATATTATGCTAGGAGAAAATCAATTAAGATACCAGTCAAATAGAACACTACAAGAACCATAATGATGACAAAACATATGTGTAACCCCTCCAGTTACTCACACTGCTCAAAGCAGGATTCGAACTGACACTAACTAGTGATGTCCGGTTCGCGAACGAATCGTTCGATTTAACTGGTTCTTCTTAGTGAACCGGTTGAACCAGTTCACCAAATCGGACTGAATCATTTGAAACGGTTTGCGTCTCCAGTAAGCATTAATCCACAAATTACTTAAGTTATTCACTTTTTTAACGTGGCTGACACTCCCTCTGAGTCGAAATAAACCAATATCCAGGAGTAATTAATTTACTCAAACAGTACACTGACTGAACTGCTGTGAAGAGAGAACTGAAGATGAACACGAGCAGAGCAGCATGTGTGCAGCGAGCCGGATAACGAATGTACACGCCCACTGCTGGAGCGGTTCTCGTTCTCGAGTCAAGAACCGGTTGCATCGGTTTTCGGATCACCAGTACACTGAACCGAGAACCGTTTCTTTCGGACACGTCCGATTTGAGAACCGGTGAGCTGATGATACTGCGCATGCGTGTAATTTTTCAAGAGGACGAAAAGCATGTTATTCACGTTTTTTTGTTAAACATCAGAAAGTGTGATAATATAAATATATTTTATTTTAATAAAAAAAAAAAAAGATGAATGTATCTAATTTGTGTTCTTTGTTCAGTTGAAGATTCTGTTAGGTTATAGGCCAAAGGGGTTTGTCAGGGAAGTTGGACAATAATTAAGACTCTATGTTTAATAGGAATAAGGGATGCTTTATGAAATACCTGTACTGTAATTATAGTTAACGATGACACATTCACAAATTGAGTTTGTAGTAAATAGAACATGAACACGAGTAGAGCAGCTGATGATATGAACGTGCGTGCAGCGTGCCGCTTAGAGCGGTTCTCGTTCTCGAGTCAAGGTTTTTGGATCACCGTTATTGTGTTAAGCCCGCGATAGACTTGACGCCATTACGTCATCGCCAATGACGTCATTACGTCGAGCGTAAAAGAACCGGTGAACCGGTTTTTTCAACCGGTTTATTGAATCGAACTGTCGTACAGGGAAGATAAAAATTGTACTTAAGTGCCTTGGCGATTTCGTTGCTCGGTGAAGTCGCGCAGGTAAAGTCGCAGGTCTTTACACTCGTTGGTCTTCACACAAGGAGGCCTGAACGCTTCCGCTGATGCTTCCGCGTCAGCGCACAGACATCAGATAAATACACAGTCTAAGACACTAAAGTGAAAACAGCTGTGGCCGCCTTCTAATTAGCACAGCCAATAGCCTATAGCAGGGCAATTCCTCAAATCGAAACTACAGTTCGCACTTAAACGCAGGAAGGGAGCAATTAAATTACACGCGCTCCTTCTTAGCCGAGGGCAATTATTATAATTACCAGAAAGTGCAAACAAAAATACAAACGCAGACAACAATATAACGTAGAAATAGGCAGAAAATGAAATATTCCTTCTTAGCAGCAAGTAATAATTCCAACAGCAGATCTATAAACAAGTATTACGCAGGACACTCACGTGCAGCCGTCTGTCTCTTCTGTTGACTCATCGCTTGACCCAAGTTATGACAGTGACCAAGCAGTTTAAATACAGTTTAACAATACTGTGTTGTACGTTCCGCGTGAGCAATCCGGACGCGTACACGGACAGCGTTGACGCAGACTACTTGTATTTATACTACTTAAAGTGTACGCTGGTGGTCCGCTCCGCAGACGTGTTCCATACATGCGCAGTAGATCGGCTTGAACAGTAAACAAACATGTGAACAAACAGGCTTTACTCTCCTCCTCCGCCTCTTTCACTCCATGTCTCCGTTAGGGATGGGCGATACCACTTATTTTATTAATTGCATATTGTAAGCATTATTTTTTTGTTAAACAAAATCACTGATAAATAAAACACACCTTCGTATCGGTATTTTTGTATATCGTCAGTATCGATATAGCGATACTTCGGATCGATACGCCCATCCCTAGTCTCCGGGAGTTTCTCCGGCGGTTGAATCAGCGTCGCCCCGGGACTCACAAACCTCACTCACACAAAAATATATTTAAGACATTGTAAAAAAAAAAAAAAAACACTTTGCACAACAGTACAACATGTAAGAAATTACACACACACAGCTGTAGTGATTGTTGTTGTTATTAATGTCTCTGTTCTTGTGTTCAGGGGCCTGTTTTCTCACACTGGATCCAAACACAGCACACACTCAACTCAGTCTGTCTGAGGAGAACAGAAATGTGACAGGTGTGTTTGAGAAACAGCCGTATCCTGATCATCCAGACAGATTTGATGATGTCCCTCAGGTGTTGTGTAGAGAGAGAGTGTGTGGACGCTGTTACTGGGAGATTGAGTGGAGTGGAGATTATGTGTTTATATCAGTGTCATATAAGAGCATCAGCAGGAAGAGAGCGGGTGATGAGTGTGTGTTTGGATCTAATGATCAGTCCTGGAGTTTGATCTGCTCTCCCATCAGATACTCATTCTGGCACAATAACAAACACACTGATCTCCCTGTGAAGCCCATCATCATCAGGAGAATAGGAGTGTTTGTGGATCAGAGTGCAGGAACTCTGTCCTACTACAGCGTCTCCAGAAACACAATGAGCCTCATCCACACAGTCCAGACCACATTCACTCAGCCGCTCTATCCTGGGTTTTGGGTTTATTATCAATCATCAGTGAAACTGTGTTGATGAATCAGAGACTGACGAGAGATTCTATCCATAATGCTCTGAGCAGCATGATAAATCAGTAACAGTGAGATGTTATAGTCTAGAGGGGTAGGTTTAGGTGTAGGGTTGGTGTAGGGCAATAGCACATACAGTTTGTACAGTATAAAAACCATTACGCCTGTGGGATGTCCCTACTTTTCACAAAAACAAACCTGTGTGTGTGCGTGTGTGTGTGTGTGTGTGAGACTGTGTGTGTGTGTGTGTTTATCTACATTTGTGTTTCAATTGAAAATATCTTCATGAATCATGTTTGTGAAAAGCACGTCATTCATTTTTCTCTGTTTTTGTGCATAAATAATAAAACACGATGAGAAATGAACTTGAGATCGGAATTGAATTGATGTTTGTATCATGAATATAATCGATTCCTCACAAGACTGACATGAGCTTCAGGAGCGTTTCTGACATTATTAAATAAAACAATAATCATAGCATTTAATAAAATATATTGTAACTACAGCAAGCTATATTAAATTATTATGGGATCTCTTGTGTGATTTTATTTACAGTTTTTTCTAAAATATGTAAAAATGTGATAAAATATGTATAATCTGCTGATTTGATAATAATAGCAACCACAATATGATTGTTTTAATTATTCGAATTATAACAATAAAGAAATGTTATGATTACAATAATACTATTGTACTCTTAAATAAAAAGTATGTATGCATGTATTATTATTATTAATAATAAT